CATTTTATTTAGCTAACAAGCTATTGATAACAGAGGTTGATTTTTTTGGGTCGCATTTAGACTTTTACCGCGATATTGCAGAGAGCTACAGACAAATGTTCATCTTTATGTCTGGCATACTGGGTGAGGATGCTGGTCTTCTTTTTGAACAGATTGGTAAGGAGCTAAAGGAAACAAAGTGGGACTGGCACTTGTGCTTTGAAGTATATGCCACTTTCTTTGTTGAATGTTTTAATGAGAGTAGAAATGATGAACAAGTGGCAATAGCTCTTTCCTCCTTTATTCCATTTCCACAGACCATGACCTTTGACTTATCAGATGAGGACTTATCAACAGGCGTTTCCATTGTTTTAAAAGCCTGTGGGAGTTTTTCACAGTTGCAACTTCCTGTTCATCTTGCACTAGAGTGTTCTAGGGTGGGTGGTTGTGACCACCTAGATGATGACGCACTAGCTGACATCATAGCATCCAACACACAGCTACAAACACTTTCCTTTTCTGGTTGTGTTTTAGAAGAGATTAGAGCTCTTTTGTGTAAAGCACTCACAGTAGACTCTACTTTACATTCCTTTACACTTGAGATAACTGAATGGATTTCTTCCTGGGAAGTTGATGATATCATTGAGAGCTTGGCTGAAAATAAAACCCTAACAACTGTAACTTTAAAATTGCCTTATGAGGTGTTAAAGAGTCGTGTAGCCATGCTTGGCAAGGGACTATCTGCCGAATCGCCACTTACATCTGTTGTACTCAAGATTTTTGGTTCATGGAGGGAAACTGAAGCAGAAGATTTTAAAAAGATTTTATTGAACACATCACTTACGTCTCTGAGCCTTATTCTGTTTGGAGACGTGCAAGATTCAGTAATAACTTCTGTTAGTGAGGGACTTGTGGCAAATCCTTCACTGAAGTCTCTTGCACTGACATTTTATGGAAAACTTAGCAACACTAGTGTGGCTTTGTTAAAGGATGGCTTTCTAGGAAACAGGTCTTTGGAATCTCTGGAATTAAAAGTGTTTGGTGAGCTTCCTACAAACTGGGCAAATATTTCTAGGACTCTNGCCTCCCCACCAAGGGGCCTTCTCAATAATAAATCTCCAGCTGACACCATTGATGGCTAAGTAACGCAAGACTTCTTTCGACCGTGCAATCTTGACAATTTCCTTTCCGGATCCTCGAATTGTTTTTCCATTATCGGACATTAGAGTTGCAGGCAGTCCCCTTCGTGGGTCCTCTTTTTATACGTGGTAATTCGACTACTGAAAACGACAAAAGTAAGTGCTATATTTGTTTATTTTCATGCGCTTCAACGAGACCTGTACACCTTGAACTTACACCAAATCTCACTGTTGAGTCTTTCCTGTTAGCGTTTTGCCGGTTTACAAGTCGTCGGGGACTGCCTGCAACTCTAATGTCCGATAATGGAAAAACATTCTGAGGATCCGCAAAGGAAATTGTCAAGATTGCACGGTCGAAAGAAGTCTTGCGTTACTTAGCCATCAGTTGTGTCAGCTGGAGATTTATTACTGAGAAGGCCCCTTGGTGGGGAGGCTTCTGGGAGAGATTAATCCAGAGCGTCAGGCATTCTATGAAAAAGTCACTTGGCAGAACCACCTTAAGCTACGCTGAGTTAAACACCTTGCTTGTCGAGATCGAATCGGTCGTTACCTCAAGACCTCTGACCTACATGGAGGTTGATCAAGATGGCATGAGTTACACACTTTCCCCTTCGTACCTAATCAATGAGCGACGGGTAACCAATACTGCGAACGACAGTCATTTTGAGGTCATCAGCAGCAACGAATCGCTTACACGAAGAGCAAGACATCATCGCCACCTTCTTTGCCAATTTACTGACCAATGGAGAAAAATCTATCTGTTGAATCTTCAAGAGAGACACGCACAAGTCACAAAGAATCGAAAGGGAGCTGATATAGCCATCGGAGATGTAGTCATTCCTAAGAACGATACATCAAACAGAATGTTCTGGAAATTAGCTAAAGTGGAAGAACTTTTGCCGGGAAAGGATGATGACATCCGAGCTGCTATTATCAAATTTTCAAGTGCAGATCATATTCCTTGTCTGTTAAAACGAAGTGCCAAACATTTGTTTCCACTTGAAGTCAACAGCAACAATGACATTAATCAAATCGAAGAGTATGGAGCCGAACCGACGAGCGGTTCTTCTGTTTGTGACACTCCCAACACTTCTGCGAACACTACACCACGTCGCAATGCTGCGATGAGGGGTGAACTCATGCGAAGATCTCATACTTAATACAAAATTGCATTCAAATTTTTCTATGTTTGTTTACTAATGTAACCCAAACCGGGGGAGTGTGTCGTGAAACTTATTAGCTCTCATAGGGTTTTGTTTTCTGTTTTGTTTGTACAGAGTTCAAAGGACGTTTATGATTGACAGTTGATCACGAGGCTTTTAAATTAATTACTCATGTGCTTTCTGATTAAGGACAGTTGTGAATACGAGTCATCGAATAAACATGT